TTATACAATTTATTTCTATTATATCAATGTTTGCAAGAACTCATGTTCGTGAGAATGTTCTTCTAAAGTCATACATATTTATAGATGAACATTATTGACGATCGTTGCTGTTTGTCTGAAAGCTGCTGAATTTGCTTTTTCATAGCAAAACAGTCACCTTGTCTTGGGGGTGGTTTAGAAACAGACAGCATACATAAATTGATGGGGAATTTAATAGGAGGATTCCAGATATGCTACTCCTTTTCCTGGACAACTCTTAGTTTTAGAGAAAGAAACGAAAAACTGTTTTTGTATGGCTAGCGCTTTTCATATGAAAATTTGATGACTTTTTTTTAGCGAAGGGATATTTGGGATTTTTATATATTCGGAATCAGCGTGATGAGTTACGTTGTACGGCGCAAAGATCTCGTCGGGTATTCGCAATTTTGGGGTCTCAGGAGCCCCACTTAGAATACGACTGTGTTCAACGGTATAGTTCATCGTTCAACTTCAAATATGCCGCATTTTATTCGTTCTGCTTGTAGTCATTTTTCTCTCTGCTTGATTTTTTTCCCTTTTATAGGCATATATACAGCCAAATATAGAAAGGAATAAAGTGAAAACTGAAAAATATTTATCTTTTTATCGAAATGTTCACTGCACTCACTACAAAATCGCTCTCTATTTCTGTCAGCTTGACAGAATAAAATAAAATTAACTAGAATATATCCTTCTCCGTTTTCTATGTCAGTTCGAAATACACAATTCGTACTCTATCCGGAGCTGTTTTTTAGTCTACTTTTGAGATACAGAGCTGTGAATATCGCTGTCAATGCACCTTCTGTATGCGTATAGAAATAGATTTAAAGCAAGAAAAGAAGAAAAGAACAAATTTTGTTTTTATCCAACAGCAAGATCGCACTCATTATAGAATGAGTGTATATTCTTAAAAATATATTCATTGGAAATTAACAAATTTGAAGGTATCCCTCTCTAGTTTTTAAGACAGTCTGAAGTATACAAGTTGTGCTGTATGCCGAGCTCTTTTTTAGAAAAAGGTTCAGTCTACTTTTTGAGATACAGACCTGTCAATATCGGAGCTGAACATAGGACGAAAATTTCCGTTACTTAACGCTTCACAGCCCAGAAAATTCAATCATTCACCGAAATACCATGGCGTATATATGTCGTGCCGAAATTACACTGTTTACCGAAGTTATAACTTGCGATACACAATTTTGTCGAAGTTATTTTAGGCAAGCTAAAACTTGGAGATTATATGATTGCCAACACTATTTTCAAAATATCCAGTTAAGGTATAATCTTCACGTTTAATTCCACAGGTGGCAGTCTTTAAACTCTTTATGAGATGAAAAATATTACCAACTGTTTGAACTCATTACGAGTACAAATGAATGTTATATTCTTAGCTCCTTTAGGGAGACTGGGGAGGCTGTTTTGAACTCGTAAAGCGTCGATATAAATGTTATTAGTTTATAAACCGAAATCTCGATATTCTAAGCACTTGGTGCTGTAGTATTTATATCCACTCACTCTGTCAGTTGGTGATATTTTTCATCTCATAAAGAGTTTAAAGGCTGCCACCTGTGGAATTAAACGCGAAGATTAAACGTTAGCTATATATTTTGAAAATAGTATTGTCAATCAAATAATCAGCAAGTTTTAGCTCGCCTAAAATAACATCGACAAAATTGCGTATCGCAAGTTATAACTTAGATGAACTTCGGCAAACAGTGTAACTTCGGCACGACATATACACGTCATTTGGACTCAAAGGGTTAACCACATTCTAGCTCATTTTACGTTAAGTTGTAGAGTTGACGTAATAAAAGGTAATTTGATTCAGTCCCGATTCGTCAGCACGTTAATTAATTTTACTGATTCGTCGACACTTTACAGTGTTAGCGGCCCACACACATCTTTCATCTCCCTGCCCGAAATGTTGCCGACGAGTCAGGAAAAAAATGAATGTGTCGAAGAATCGGGAATACATCGTTAATTTCATAGTGAGTGCTGTCTTGTTATATGTATAATTCTATGAAAATACAAACTACATTCGTTTCCGACTACCTTGGCTCTTATATGTCTATATAAGCGTACAGAAGAAAAAAGATTAAGAAGAAAGAAAAATGACATCAAGCAAGAAAGTGAGAAAAGAAATTTTATATTTTCCAGCAAATGTTCGCCCTACTTATTATGAAACTACTATATATGCTGTCAACTTGAGCTAAAGTCAACTAGAATGTACCCCTCTCCGTTTTCTATGTCAGTTTAAAGTACACAAGTTGTACTGTTTGCCAAGCTCTTTTTTAGAAAAGGGTAGTCTACTTTTGAGATACAGAGCTATCAATATGGGAACTGAATATGAGAAGAATATATACTTTTTATGTCTGTTAGCAAGCGCAATCATTTCTTAAAAGGAGTTCTTGGCTAGCATGACTTTTTGGCTTTCGCTTCGGGTCATGGTAGTCATATAAGATGCTCGCGAATGTATATTCAACGTCTTTCTGCTAACTGTGCAAAGCAGTAACCAGTGAATAATAAATAAGTTTAGTGGAAAAAACTGAAGTTTATTTCTGCATCGTTTATGTTTTAAGAACTATGTAAAAGTAATATAATCTGAGCTAATTAGATAAAATTTTAAACACATTATGTATTGTTACAAAGAGTACGCATAAGTTTCACTAATGGAAGCCGTCAAAATTTTGATCGAAGCGAATGTAGGAAACGGATCGAACCGGAAAATCATGGTAGTTCAGAAAGTTATCTGAAAGTCTATCTGAAATCTTCAACGTAACTAAAGTTTTCGTATGAGTAGTGTATACACATTAAATGAGAAAAAATAATACATCCAGATTAATTTACAAAAACATCAATGAGCTTGAAAGTTGTTAAATTCAACTAATTATGTTGACTGTTTTTTGTATTAGTCGTTCTCCTTCTCTTTTCTTTCCGAATATGTGGTAATATGTACCCTTTCTGTGGCTCTCATATCTTTTCCTATTCCCTCTTACTCCATTTTTTCTATATTAAATTCACTTGATATAGACTAGCCTTTCCACATAAATATAAAGAGAAAAGTTTGTACATAAACTCCGTAACATCCTGCTGAATATCACGGCCCGAAAAAAAACCAGGAAGTCTCACAACAAGACAGAACATTTGAACTCTTGTTATAAGAGCGATAAACGAAACATAATGTTAAAAAAAGATTATATACATGAATGTTTTGCAAAGTAATAGAATAAGTACAACGAATATATAGCTCACACTTACGAGGGAACCTCCCGAGGTGTCCTCTTCCAATTTCAGTGATTTGTACATGGATCGATAGATCTCAGTGAGATAGTAAATACCCTAAAAGGATTCTGGTGCATAACTCTGGAAGACCCGGTTTTATGGAAAACCAGTTTTTCAGAAACTCTAAAAGATACACCGGGTCTTCCAGAGTTATGCACTCGAATCCTTTTAGGGTATTTACTATCTCACTGAGATCTATCGATCCATGTACAAATCATTGAAATTGGAAGGGGACACCTCGGGAGGTTCCCTCGTTAGCAGTATATCGCTAAGTGAAAGCTCTATATTTGTTCTAGATGAAATTACGACCAAATAAGAATGTCTCATATATCACTCAATATATTTGCTGTTATTCCTTCATGGCTGATTCTAACATGCACAATCAGAATGTGCTGTTCAAATACGTCATCTTGTTCATGCTTATGAACTGTATGAACATTATTGACGATCGTTGCTGTTTGTCTGAAAGCTGCTGATGAGCCAATTTGCCTCTGTACTGCTAAGTAGAAGCTGTATACTTGTTCTAGATGAAATTACAACCAAATAAGAACATCTCATCTATTACTAAAATATTTGCTGTTATAACTACATGGCCGGTCATAACATGCACAATCAGAATGTGCTGTTCAAATACGTCATATTGTTCATGATTATCTTGTTCGGACTGGTGACAACAGGGCGAGAACTCTATACAAGTTTGGGTATGGCACAACAAAACCACTTGATCTCGCAACCAGTAAGAAATACAATCAGACTAATACCAAAAGAAAACTATCAAAAAAACAATTCAAAATTTCTTTCGGATGAATCGTACCGTCTTGCAGCTGTCTCTCGTAATGCCAGCAACAAATCCGGTATTGACTCTTCGCTACTAAGTATTAGTCTAGAAAGGCGAACAAAATGCAATCCAAATATGACACAGTTATGTCATGCTGTGAACAAAAGTTTACTCGTGAGCTTTTGGGGTGAAAACTCACGTTCAAAATGGTTATCGCAAAATATTCTCTCGGCCTTTCCGGAGACTGCATTCGACCATGTGATCATGCTGCATGATAAATCGATATGGACATCTCACGAAGGTTATCATAAATTCATTTGGATTCGGGCTTACGGTCAATTTCGCTTGTGGTATTTGAAACGATTCATCACACCCTACATTCTTCGAGCATACCGTTACATATGGGTAGTCGATGACGATGCCCAACTCATATTTAATTCGTTACACTATGAGTGCGTCGTGGAACGTTTAAACATTCCACTGTCTTCTCCTGTCTATCTGTCCGGTCCTCGCTCACACCCGATAACAAACCTGGACAGTAATTTTGCGCGAAAAATTGGTCGATGGACAGATTTTGTCGAGACAGGAATAGTTGTCGTAGGCTCACCACTAGCATGGGAATGTATTTGGCATCACTTAAGCTTGGCTACGGGCTTCGGCTGGGGAATCGATCTCATATGGTGTAAAACGATCGGTGTCAAGTGTTTACCTAAAGAGCAAGAGTCACGAGCTTGTGCCATTTTAGACACATTTGGCATTAATCATCTCTCATCTGGCGTCACGTCTCAAGTAGAAGGTCAGCCAGAACTTGCTGAATATCAAACAGAGGAATTCAAGCTGTTCCACACAAAAATGACGAACATCGCTGCTTTAGCAGACAACAACGATATATTTGAATCATGTAGTAAGGATCAGAAACACTCTTCTGCGGTTATTGTGAGCAAATCATAGCCACCTTTGTAAATA